CGTGCAAAGTTCAGTTTCTGCGCTCAGTACTGTCACGAGGATTAGAATTTTATGATTACATAGATTGAACTAGTCGTTTGAAACTATACTCTGTCCTGAGTTAAATATTATTCGTGCCTTATAGAGGAAAGGAATTTTACGATATTTTCATGGAAAATATGAAAATTATCATTTTTCATAACAGGAATTAGAAAGAAAGGTACATTGCTGTGGTGTTTTCGTCTATTGAAATGTCGTACAGCTCGGTTTACAGATGTACGATCGAAATTTGTAAAACAATTATGGTTGGTAACAGGATACGGGCAGCTTGCAGCCTGTCGAATTCGCAGGACCCTGCCGCACAGGATATATCTACCATACATATGTATCTTGTGTAATTGTTTCCGCCGTGGTGAGTTCGCTACAAAGTTAGCGTAAACCGAACTTGCCGTGAACATCGCGAATGTTTAACAAGTAGAAGCTAAACGTTTCCTATTGGAAATCCACTTTAAATTGCAATCAACTGACTTATGAATTAATTCATAACGTGAAGTGATTATACTGCGTTTAACTCGTTTATGTATTTTCTTTTCACTGAATCTTAAGTGGCATTCTGCAATAACTTTATGATATCAAGTCTTTGTAAACTCAAACAGTCACATTGAAAAATGTGAACAAAGGGTTTGTGTTATCAAATCCTTATCAGCTCTAATAAAGTAGATCTTGCTAACGAGTCTACTAATGGATTTAGGCCGAAATATCGTTTCCTCTAATTTCCGCAGGAAACAACAGTGTCCATTTTCCAAATGGATGATCCTACAGGGAATCTCGATGTATCATATGAATCAAGGAATGATACGATGTGAATTCAGCCAGTACAAATGCCTGAAATACGTGCCTGAAAATATGTTTCTGTACGTTTCAAGCAGACGTAGATTCGTATTCTGCATAGTTTCAATAACTCTGGAGTTTATTTTGGTATCTTGATGTAAGCGTTAAGTTAATTAATTACAACAATGCAAATAACGATGCAAAAAATGATATGAAATCAGATGCAATCGAATGCATAGAATATTCGATTGAAATATGACCATTGAAATTATGGTCAGCAATTTCCTATCCTTCGATTACCTTTAAACGGAATACGTGTTGTTCATTCACATAGATTATAGCGTTTTCCAAAATGAAATTGTGGTTTAGATTAGTAACAAGAACATCGCTGCAGTATTTCGGTCAGCTTTACTGCACTATAGGTGCACTTGACTGCATGCATGTAAATGATACGAAATTACTGTTCGTAGATAAGTTGGGTAGCATTGATAAGGTGTAGAACTTTATTACAACAATTAGATACAACAGAATTCATAATAAATTTTTGTTCTTTTCGTATCGAATATTTTTATCGTGTCTTGGTTAATTTTTCAAATTTGTGTAATAGGCGAAATAATAATTAAATGTAGTAGAATTTCAATTATCAAAATTAACAGATTATTATAAAAATTTGATTTTCATCGATTATTCTGTTCACAAATTGAATTCCTTCAAGTCTTAACGAATACAATGAACGGGCTAATGTCTATACTTATCAGCAAGATTGATCTATTTTCGTACGAAAATTTATTCAGATCCGTGAGAAACTTTTTTCCAAGAAATCTACAGAGTATAAAAGATACGATTACATGGGCTTCGTTTGATTTATGCAGAATTCTTTCTTTCGATCGTGACCTAAGCTATTGCGCGCTTGCTCCAATTGACCCATTCATTAATAATGACAGATCATTGCTCTTCATCCACGTTCCTTCGATCAATTTCCAATGCGCATTAAATTGCAAATTGTCTTTGGTCGACTTTTACACTAAATTTTGAGTAACTGTATATTAGAATAATAATAATAATTATTATTATTTAATATTTCAAATATGATTTAAATTATGAATTAAATATTAATAATTTCGATAAACTGATTTAAAATACACAAAATAATAATGAAAATATTCAATAGCAATTATTCAGAATTATTCCCCGTGTCCTAGGGAACCCTAGATCGATGCGTTAGGGCTGCCAACCTATCGATGCACTTCACGAAGTGTTCCGGTTGCATCTGACGTTATTAGTACCCAAGCTAGAGTGCTCTCTGTTCGATAAAACGTGTACAGGCGCACGTGAGATCGGATTAACGATCGGTATAGACCTTCTGTCCCACAATGATAGCCGGATTCAAGCGGGACAATGAGAGTTCGGAGACGAGGCTGACCGAATCGTGAATAATAGCTGGTGCCCGCGCACCAACACTTGTTGCTGAGAAATCCAGCTAAATCGCCCATAAAAATTGCCACCCCTTCGATTACTACCCTCGTTAATCTGGAAGGCTTGAGAACGTTTATGAAACGAATTGTGTATAGGTGTCCGAATATTAATTGAATTTAATTGAAAGAAAAGAAATTGTATTCTATTTCACTGGAGTAGGATCAGTTCGATGAAATCTCCTGCGAAAATGATTGCATTTTGCAATCGTGTGTGAATTATCATCCGAATACCTATAGGGTGCGCTGAATCCCGTTGCAAGCACGTCGTAAAAAGCGGAAATTCGATGGTGTAGAAAATCCTTTCCGCGTCTTGCGAGATTTTCGAAAGCTTTCGCGAGCCGATTCGCTTCCCGAGGCAACACTCTTTGAAAGGCAACACCAACCGGCGCCTCTCGAATTACTTTCACGCTGAAATTACTTCGCTCTCTCGCCTCCAGCTATTCGTTTAACTGCGAGAGTGGCTTCAGAAAAGCGGCCAGACTCGATTTCGCACTCGCCGCGGTGCAACCGAATTCGTTGCCGGCAATTTAAACGCTAATCCCCGGCTAGATCATTTATTATAAGGCAATTTGTGGATTTTCAATGACTTCAACGATTAAGGGAGACGATCATTTTTTATCTTCTCTCGTTTATTAAATGAATTTTTTTTTTATTAATTATGAAAAGAAGTACAGTTCTAAATACACTGGTATTCGATTATTATAATCACGGATAACATTATCAATTGGTCACTGTTGTTAAAAGTTGAAAATTATATTTGCAAATTTTAGAAATTTATTTAAAGAATAATCATATAACGTCAAAAATTTGAGAAGTACGTAAAATAAAATTTATAATTATGAATGAACATATATTCCCATTGTACATCCGAAAAAATGTAATTCAAAAAAGTTAGTTAACTTTTAACTCGGATAACAACGTGGCAATTTATTTGGTGTCATGTATTTTATGTTAAAAAAATAGAAGCAGTACAGATACACCAGATACGCGGAGTTTGAATGCGCGAAACGTTGAATTTAGTAAATATTGCCAGCCTGGCGTGGACATTCTCGAAAATTATATCCCATGAAATTAGATCGTTAGGTGGAAATAAAGAACTTTGGGCTACTGCAAACGGGCAGAGTTAAAAGTGCAGTTATGCATAATGTTTTTCCTGCAAAAAGCATCTCTTCTCTTTGAATGAATACCTGCGTTTATTCCAATTTGCTATGAAAATAATTTTTGAAAGTTTGTAAAAAAAAGAATAATTTTGCTTTAATTTCTTACGAAAAATGAAAATAATCTCTGTTTTCTTTCTATGATTTTCTTCCACCTCTTTTCACATGCCTGAAATCAGTGGAAATGGACGCGAAAACATTTTAGTTTCTCGGTGTAATGGGACTTTTTGGTATTCGCGTCGGTGTCAAGGCGACTATCTTAAATTTTCGCTCGAAGATTACTACGACACGACGTTTTATTTTCTTCTCGAACCATTTCCTTGAAAGTATTATCGTGTAAAGCCTCGGATACGGAAAGTTACGGTTAGTTGTAAGTTTCACGCTATTTTATGGAAATTATCACTCAACGATTTACAAAATTCTGTGCGACAAATCCTCAAACCTACGAAAAGATTATTGACTGATTTAGTGGAATAATAAATTTGCTGTAGTCAAATTTCGCGGTTCAATTATTGAAGAAAAAATTTAATTTAAAATTACTATTATTGTAAATATCTATTTTCTATTTTCTATTTCAATTTATGTTTTTCTACTATGAAGGAGGGTTAGTACAAAAGAGTGGTAATCGTGAGATATTTAAACAAAATCTTAATGGAATTGAAAAGTTTCAGAAAATAATACTTCCATCAAAATCCTCTTCTATTCGCTTTGAAAAGAAATTTAAACCAAAGTGATCTTTCCGTTGTATACTCTATTTCTTTTTAGGGAAGTACTTTTCTATCAGTCTGACCATCCTGAAATCCATTATCTTTCCTTCTACACTTTGATATTGTTATCCCGAAAATTCACTTCTATCATAAAAACGCGTCTACGGACAACAGGAAGAATACGACTGGAAAGCGAACGATCGATGTGAACGACTCGAAAGCTCAGTCTTTATGTACAAAGAAAACAGTTCTTGCAGAACGTGGCGCCATTATATCAACGAGAAAGTAACGAGTACTCGTTCTAATTAAATTTTCCATCATGAAAAGAATAATATTTTCCGTTTCAAATTCACCGACGTGAAGATGGAAATTGCATTTCAGATTGTTTGAAATTCATCTTGCCATGTACTAAAATGGAGATTAACCCCGTGTGATATAATTCCAAGAAATAGGTTAAGGGATGAGAATTTAAAAAAATTATCATCGCAAGAAAATATTGCTTATTTGCTTAAAAATTTTTGAACAAAAACATTCTTTTTTTAATTCTATTTATAGAAAATTATTGATTTAGTTTCGTCGTTCGATTTTGAGGCGTTCTGTGTAGGTAAATTTGAATTACAGCCGTATCCGAGAAGTTAGGGGTTGAATTCGCGGGGGATCCGTGGCGCGAAAAATAAGTTCGGCGAACGGACGCACGCGGACGAGAAAACGACGGTGATAGGGCGTTACGATACGTTGCGTCATGTAGCAGACGGTTTTCCGGATAGGATAGTAATTTGGCGGCTCGGCGCAAGCGCCGCAAGGCGGGTCCAGGTCAACGGCAAAAACCCGGTCTAGTCGTACGACGAACGTCAAGCCGGCTTGTCGGTAACCGGAACGCTTCGCAGACACGCGAGCACATCCGTTTCCCCCTCTATCACCCCCCGAGCTTTGGAAAACGAAGCAACAGGACGAAGTTGACCCGGAGCAACTCAGTCGGTTTCTTTCCTTCCACGAACAATCATTGAAACATTTCATTAATTACTCATCAGATAACTCGCGTTAATGATAAAAGTGTCATCTGTCAACGAGTTTGATCCTCTATGAATATATTCGTTTGAAAATGGAGCGATTCGTCGATGGGATGAAAAAAAGTTGAAAATTCGAGGAAAAGTGAAGGATGTAATAAGAAGAAAGGGGTAGAAAAGCTAGCCGCATGTGTTACTACTGCTTTTCCCTGTTCCCAAGAAGTGTTTGATGTTGTCAGTCAAGGGAGGGAAGAGCGAGGTGAAGAACAAATAAAGAACAACTGTATCACGAAGAGAGACTGTGTATTCGTATTTGTTTATTTCGTTGGAATATCAGTGAAGCCGGGCGCGCGTCAGTTTCTCTGCTTGTGGGACAAAGAGAACATCAACGGAACAGCCGTGAGACGGACAGAAAGGTCGACGCACCTGTTTTGTTTTCGTTCGTTCGTTCGACGTTGATAACAGCTCCAGCTGGTTAGTTACAAGTGTCGTCGAAACATTAATTAGAGGAGTGTTGTGATGAAGCAGTTCTGGTGATACTCGAGAGAGGAACGAATCGATGAGGGATCGACGATCGATCCGTGGAAGTTAGGAAGCTGAAGGAATCCGGTAACCTGCTACCTTCGACATGAGCATCGCGTGTCACGGCTTGCACAGGTACGCAAGTTTCTTTAATCTTAATACGTTTACCTTGGAAAATAATCGGAAATTACCTGCGAGGACCGAGTGATAAATTTTTTATGGTTGTGGTCATGCCACTCCATTGTGATAGGCGCGATGTCTTATGACGACATCCGATCGTTTGGGACTTTATGATCACATTCGTGCTAGACTTATTTTTTCCGTCACAAATTACGAGAATAATTAAAAAAAATTCTTATTACTTCAAATTATGAATAAAAGTTACATTAGAATCAAGTAATACTTGACAGTAGGAGAACTATCATTTACGTAGCAAATATGGTAGCTCATCTGTAGAGGGTTAACCTTAATGTTCGATGTCGGGGTTAGTGTTCGCTAGGTAAAAGGGAAGAGGGGATAAAAGCGTGTTAGATGGAACGATGAAAAGGAAATTGGTTCGTATCGACCTCTTCTCTTAGTCGACGAATGCACATGGTGCACTTCGGGGAAAGGTCGATCGTTGCTTCGGAGAAAAAAGTTTTTAAACGATTCCTTCATATGCCACTATAGGCTTGGGTATGTGTGTTACATAGATAACTATGTTCTTATGATAATTCTTTAGTCTGTGCAGGGTCTGCAATGTTAACTTTCGAGGTCATAAGCTCGTTATGAGATGCATTGTTTAAAGTGATTATTTATTGAGGTGTTTATTGGGACGTGGGTAGACTATAGAGATAGATAGATTTCATTTAAAATTGAGATTAATAACACCGTACACTACTTTGTAACATAGACAGTCTGACATTTGTAAAATAATAGAATAAATTTTTTTCTTGAAAAGTAATTAATAATTAATAGACAGTAATAATTTAGAAAGTCTGATTATGATATTAATTATACAAGTTTTTCAAATTAAAAATATTTGAATTGGAAATTGAAATCTAACATACAGTAATGAGATTTTGATGTTAGAAGCAAATTATTCACGATATAAATTAACACGAGGTTTGAAACAATATTTATGAAGGTGTATCGGACGGTATTAGTAAACAGGTTACTACGAAAGAATAAATCGATATATTGTCACCGATGTTTACTTAATAAACACATGTCCCCTGTAATTATTTGACAGGGAGAATTAATAGGGTTTTGTTCGATCGAAAGTATTGGAAACTTTCTCAGCCAAGGTGAAATAAATGTCACGTTCGCGTTTTATATTTTATCGCTCGTATGTCCTGGTCATAAATTACATAAATTGGAATTGACATTTAATGTTCACATTCGATGGTGTAGGATCTATATTATTGTGCGGGACAGGAATACCTTTATTTTTACTTCTATATTTAATTTTAATTATAATTAGATCATTCTATAATTACCATAATTTATTTTTGGTATAAACAGTGAACTAACATAATTTTCATATAACGAATACAGGGTCATTTGGATTCAGTAGATAATATAGCAAAAATTTATTTGAAAATTATTATTTGCTGAATTTTAATAAATAATCCTGTAGGAAAAAATACTAAGATCGGAAATTTAGTAATTTATCAAATATTTGAGTATGAAAGAGTGATCTGAGTAAGCAAGAAACGAGAACAACCCGGTTTCCTCGTTGACCCAGTACGCTAACACGTGTAAGCAGCTTTAAAACAAATGGAAATATCATGGTAATGCTCCATTATCAATCATCCCGTTGTTACAAGACACACGCGACGTCTTCAAGGCTCTCAAGTGCAACGATTCCCTTGATTACTCATTGCGTTTTCGACCGATGAAACTCTGTTGTCGAACGAACGAGATCCTTGAGACCTTAACAATCTTGACTTCTTGCAATTAGTGCTATTTGAGTGGAGTAAACGGTAGTAACAGATAGGGTGCTTTCCTGGAACGGATAGTTTCTAAAATTAGTTGGAGATCGATCGATATCGACAAATAACATCATTGCTGTTCTTTTATTTTTGTTAATAACAAAATTTCAATTAACATTGTTGATTAGAAAATCACCTTAAGGGAGAATATGTCATTAAATAAATAAATAAAAAGGTGGATGCAAAAATCATCAATGCCGAAATTATAAAATATTTTTAACTATACACTTGCAAAAGAATACTAAAAAGTAACGGTTTGAAGCAAGGAAAAAATTAAATGTGTTTCATCCGGATTATCTTGAATGAAAAGGGTGTTATGTGTTGTAATCTAACCACCCATTTTTTTTTTTTTTTTCGAACCTCTGACATCAAAATTTTGCATTCTCTTTTTTATTACATAGATAATCTTCTTTGTATAAGGTGTACTTATTTTGCCATGAAATTTAATGAAATTTTTTATCATTTTTATAAAACACTTCTAAAACTTTCTTTAGTTATTACATTCTATTTTCTCATGTTTCTTTATAAATAATTTCAAACATATTTTATAAAATTTACAGATCATACTTTATTGTTTAATTTAATTAAAGAGGTCCTTTCGTGAGGCTATGTGCAGTTTCTTTCACAGGCTTCGTGAAAGTTGCAAATGTGAAATAATCAGCTAAAATACCGAGGACGAAAATACTGGTTCGAAAAAGGGAAGATTCCTCCCTTGAACCTCGGATTAACGAGATTTTATGAGCAATGAGGGATTATCTGGGTAAAAGAATGAAAGAGACCGGATGAAATTAACCCCGACCTTCTTTTTTTTAAATTTTATTTTAAACCGCAACGAGTTAACTTTTCAAGACACTTTGGTGCTTCCTTTGAGCTCCTTCTTCCCCCTTGTATCGCTTCCATCTGTAATTGCGCGAGATGTAGAATTATGTTTCTCGTGAAGCTTTTAATTACTTCTCGGAGATTTTCCATTTGCCCCGGGTACTCGCTGATTCAACATTCCCTTTTTTCCTGTCTTTTTCCGCTAAAGTGAACCAACTGGAATGTAGAAAAAAAATTATCTATATGTACTGCAACATCATTAAAATGATTTTTGTTTTGAATACGCAACTACGAAGAAGAATACCGTTGATTCGTCATAATTATGTTTCTTCCTGAAACTTTTAATTGCTTCTCAGGGATTTTTCATCTACCTTGGATATTTATTAATTCGAAATTTCTTTTTACCTATTATTTCTTTTGCAAAAATGAAACCATGATGGAATAACGTAGAAGATACGCTGATTAGCTTGAATTTATTGTACGTGACACGAGTTAATTAATTAATTTTAGATAAAGTTAATAATTACAAATTTCAACGGGGACATTCAAATGTTTTTTAAAAAGGGGTTAAAAAAACATGTTATACCAACATGTCCACTTCTAAATAATTTCGTTTTTGATGCTCGGCTATGGAAAACGACATCGTTAATTTGTCTTTCGTTTGAATTCGTCATAATTATGTTTCTCGTATTTGGAGAGAAAATATTTGAGTAGAACCCTGTCCGAGCGTATTTCTCTTTCCATCGACGTTTTCCTCTTTAAATATCACTTATCTCGGGTTACCGTACAGCCGGTGGAAAGAAAAAAATAACTTTTCTCATCAGAATCCTCGTAATCCTGTTTCTTTCGTTTTAATCGCTCGATATTTTGTTTCATTTCGTCTCATTTGTTCGCCGGTGTTGGTCGTTTTTACGGTGCGCGCCACGAAATGCAAACGAGAGGTTGTGCATTTGAAACGCAACGTTACACAGAGCGCATAAATTTAATATGCTTTAAGTATGAAGAGTTATGTTTCATATTTTCGCGGTTGAAATAACCGGGCTTTTTGTTCGAAAATCGTGTTAGTTCGCGTGGAAAAAGATCCGTTGAATTTTTCAATTAAGAAACGATATACGTATTTTATTTGAAACGAGCGAGGAAACGAGAATTAATTTCTGAATTTCTGAAATAAATTGTAATCCATGATCAAAATTCATTCTAAAAGCGAAATAAAATATTCCTTTGAAAGAAGTTAATTGAAAATCTGCGAATGAGGATATTTTTTTTAATCTTTATGGAACTTACGGTACAAAGTTAAAATAATATAGAGTTAAGAACGAGAAGTCGACTTTGGAATTTTTAATTTTCACTAGAGTTTTTAAATGTCGCAGATATTCGAAATTAATAGTTAACAGGTGACTTCAGTGACCTAGGCGCTTATCACAAGCACAACTTTAATCGAGTCAGAAACTCTTCCGTTTAACTTTGAAACAAAACGGGGCAAAAGTGAAACGAGAGCATAATGAATGCAACATATTTGGAACTTTGTATATTTAAGTACTATAATAGAATTTTTAAACCCACTTTAATTCATTGAGAGACTAGTTTTTTTATCAAGGAATGCTTTTTTTTCTCGAGACAAAAATATAAAATATTTTGGTTATTTATAATTTGAGAGATGAAATCGTGTATAATTTTATTCGTTGCATCGCGAGCACGTGCTGCAAAATGACGTCGCTGCAAATATCTATCGACAGCGGCACTTTGTTCACATTGAAATCCCATTCTGTGAATGTTTATCTACCCTGCTAGTCAATAACAAACGTACAACTCGTATATTGTTCGTGTAGGTTCCATTTGCTTTAGTTACACATTGTGCCACAGACTTTCTACTTTGAATCAGTGTTTTTTCCCCGTTCCGTTGAAATACGTACATTTTATTTCACTCTTCAACCTTTAATGCATTTTCTAACAAAGCGTTGCAGCGTTTATTTTACAGTCATTACATTAATGATGAAGCCTTTTGTGATATTAGGTCTGTGTTAAAATTCTATTCAATTCTGGAAATTGCACATTCGTCAGTGAACAATACTAATTGTAAGTTGTAAATTAACCATTCCTAACCAATTTGTACGAGAAATTTTTGCATAGTTATTTTTATTAAATTTAAAACTTATGTCATGAAATTTTGTCAGTTCATTATGTTACGGTTTTAGATATTGTTCTCCAACAATTTAGCTAGATTTTTGATAGCAGTATTTATTACAAAGTAATTTTTTATGAACTTGTTTCCCTCCCTCTCTTTTGTTTTTAATTGATTTCAATTTTTGTAACACATTGAAATTCAATAATACCGTGTCAATT